TCGTATGAACTGAGACATGGATTATAATCATTCTCTTTGTTCATGTGTTGTTTCCCAATTTCCGATTTATGACGACTGACTAATTGAACAAATCAAATCAGTCCAGGCTTGGCCAAGCGCTTAGGGTGTCATCACTAAATCATCGAGGGGGCCACAGATATCGCTTTTATCCGTCATTGGGTAAAAGGAACGGATAAACTTCGACTCATATGTTTGCTCTATTTACTCATCAAATCACACACACCAATATGTTTTATAACACCAAGTTTCTGGTGCGTTTACATATGTCAATGTGCAACCGACTTGTAAACTACAACTCACATGTCTTGGTTTCAAGAATATAAGATATTATCGTCTCATGATCACTCGTGATAAAATCCATGAAGTGATTCAAATGAGTGTGGGTTGAATCCAATACTCAAATCTTATTATAGGAGTACTCATGAATATTGCAGCAAACTTGTGCTATGTCTAAACACCTTTAGACAATCTACAGACCCATTCTTGACAGTCCAGCTTCAATACCTACTTCCAAAGTATGATCGACTGTGGATAGTTTGAATTATCTAGTTATTCGAGAAGTCAAAACATGCAAAGTGAAACACAAGAATAATCGAATCCAATATGGTCTCAAAACTTTTGAATATAAATAAAACACCTTTTATTCAATCACCATATTGATTACACATTATTCATTGTATAATGTTTCGATTAATCAACTTATACTTGAATTCAAACAATAGTTATCCCATGCTCCAAGCATGCACACTATGTTTACATATCGTCCTTTCTTTGTGAAATAGATTAATTGAATACATCTTCAATGAAACTCATTCCACAACTCCAAATCTTGATCACAAGTGTAAGAATACCAAATTCTAGAATGTGTTAGGTTCTAAACTATCATGCAATATAACCTTTTGTAATGTCATGGTACTAAAGTCATAGGGACTTTGCCAATGATATTACAAAGTATTCCTTTGGAGATTGTTACAAGAACAATTCTGTGGAAGCGAAGTCTCAAATTCAAAGTACACTCCTTTGAACATTCTTCTTGCATAAAAGTTTCTAACTTCCACATGGATTCCTAATATCCATCTCCCATTATGGAAACATTTCCATATATGCCATATAACAACTCCTTATTAATAGAATCCTGCCTATTCATAATAATGTCAATATAGTCCATCTATTACTATACTTCCAATTGCCCACAAGCAACCAATCTTTGGCGAACCTTAGATTGTTCTAAGCAATTGTTTAACAACTTTAGTCATATCCGGTTCTGGTCCTTTTTCCTTTTTAATGCCCTGGGCATTTGGAAAATTCAGAACACATAAATACTATAGCATATGCAATCGATCCTATATCCGAAGTATATGGGATACGATTCATAATGACTTACATAAAGACATGATACTTTACCATTCTCTTGCGATAATATTTCCATATATAGAATTTCCTTATGTTGAACTATTCCAACATAACATTCATATATATCTTTGACTAAATTTGATTAAAATCTCACAATCTAAGCTTTTAGATTTGAAATGAAGTATGAGTTCATCTCCCTCAATTACAGCAAAGCAATATTTTTTAACCTCTGCAACTTTGCGAATTGAAACTTTTGTTTTCTATAATTAACATTGCTAACTTGCAACACTTACCATAATAATTATGCTCCCACTATCATAATAATTATTATCTTACTAGCATAACACTTATGCTCCCACTAGCTTTGACATGTACTCAGAAATAAGTTGGACTTCTAGAAATCAATACTTGTTGACTTTCTTACCAAAGTTCAGATTTTTGATACAAGATGCTTCGATAAGACTTTGTTTGGTCAACAATTGGGTCTTTGAGCCATGAGAGGGGTAAAATGGTCTTTTACCCTTCTGAGAGTGCTAAGAGAGGGAACAGTCTAGCCTTGAGAGTTGTATTGATTAGAGTGCTTATTTCATGTGATTAGGCGGAGGCTAGAGCAGATTTTACCGAGTTCGAGATTACCGAGTTACCTGAGGTGAGTCTTCTTACTATACTGTACCTGGAAGGGTACCTATGTGTGACCGGAAGGTCTTGTATGCTATGATGTATGTGCTATACGCGGTTATGTGATATGTGTGACTGGAAGGTCTTGTATGCTATGAGATGTATGTGCTATATGCGGTTATGTGATATGTATGTGCTATGTATGTTATGTATGGTATGGACCGGAAGGTCAAGATGATATGGACCGGAAGGTCAAGAGGTTACGGACTGGAAGGTCAATACGGGTAGGACCGGAAGGTCTACCGGGATTGGGACGGAAGTCCCTGAGACACATGGATCGGAAGATCCTACAGAGTTATGGCCTGGAAAGGGGTATGTGTGGTAGGTGGTATTTTGGGGAACTCACTAAGCATTTATGCTTACAGTTGTTATGATATGTGTTTCAGGTACTAGCGAGGATCGCGGGAAGGCGCCGACATGATTCGTACACACTTACGGAGTTTATGTTATTGAGATTCTGGGACATGTTTTGTTATGACACAGTGAATACATTATGTTTTATGATTATCGTGTGATTGAAAGTATGATTTAAAAATGAAAAATTGTTTTGAAAAATTACGTCGTTACATGGTGGCATATCAAGTCACTTGGTGGCATATCAAGTTTTAGTAGTGGCACACCTTGACTTCTAAGTGGCGCATCCAAGCATATGATGTCGCATCTTGATCACAGATGGTGCATCCACGCACCAGGATGCTCCATTCTAATACCGAGTTCTTTATACCCCCTTTTAGAAGATCCATTACTTTTTCACTTGAGTTGTTCCTTTGTCAGATGATCCATTCCCTTCTCAGATGATCTATTCCGTTAGCACATGCTCCATAAACCCTAAGTGCTCTATTGAACTCAAATACTCTATGTGAATGCTCCAAATGCTCAAGTCATATTTAACATATACAAATAAAATAATGTAACACGCTATAATAATAGATCACCAAATTCATCTAAGGTTAACTAAGTGTTGAATCTCAGTTTTTGGGTCTCGATGAAGGTCTCGAATCTGACGATGCTAGTGAGATCCCAAGTTTCACACCTGATATACAACACAACCAGTCAGAGGTTCCTTGGGAACGGGTCCCGGGAGAACCCTCCGATGGTTAAATTAGTCGATGTTTGTTAGTCGATTTCGATTCGTATGAGAGAGTGAGAGAGAGATATATATGAACTTACTCTGAGGTCTATGTTCAAGAAACATATATATAGTTGAAGATATCTTTACCTTGGGGAAGAAGGCTTTGCTTCTGGAGCACTTGTCTTTGGACGGAGCATGTGTCAGACCATTATTTGTTGGGAAGGAGCAAAAACTTGTACCTTTTCTCGTACGAAGGAGCATCTTGGTTGGCCAAGGCCGAACCACTTGTGCTGAGGCCAAATCTGGTTGGCCGAGGCCGAACCACTTGTGCTGAGGATGAAGCTGATTGGCCGAGGCCGAACCACTTGTGTTGAGGCCGAAGGTGGTTGGCCGATGCCTAACCACTTGGACAAGGCCGAACCACTTGTGTTGAGGCCAAACCTGATTAGTTGAACCATGTTCGCCCGTATCCTGAAAAAGGTATGATCGGGGATATATGTTATCACTAAGTATGAACAAATTTACAATTTCAATAAATAGGAGTAAGAGGACAAATGTTTGTTTGTTTAGGGAACTATATGTGCAGAAAATAAAGTGAAATGACGGTTCTGGAAAAAATTACATGTAGCCGGTTGGCCAATTTCAAATTTAAACCTTGTTTTAAATATTAAATATTTCAACATTTTTTATTTAACTTGATATTTTTATTGCTAAAATTGTTTAATTTGTTGTGAATGTTTTGGGTGAAATATTGGAGATGATGTAATTAAAAGTTGATTTTTATTTATGGCAGGGTATATTCTGAATAGGTATAAGCAAGAAAGCACGATATATAAGCCTATGTGTGTGTTTAGCACATCAATGTCTATTAAGATGCATCTGCAACCATGATTATAGAAATGGATGCAAAAATTTTGTTTTGTGTTAGGTTATATTTTGAATAGGTATAAACAAGGAGGCGCAATATATATGAGCCTATTCATGAGTTTAGCACATCAATGTCTATTAGGATGCATCTACAACCATGATCATACAGATAGATGAAAAAATAGACAACCAGATAAACATTCAAAATATTCCCTTCTTATATTCTTCTTGTTCTTGCAAGTCTTGATTGTTTTGCTAGAAGACTTATCCGTAATCTTGTGTTTGTAGTTAGAGGATGCTTCACACAGATTACATAATAGTTGAACCTTTGCATCTCATTGTTGGATGTATACTTTCAAAGGTAAGCATACATATATATACTAACATTTTTGTTTTTTGAGTTTAGCAATGTTCATAGTGAACTAATTTACTTTTTTTCAGTGATATTACTGGTTTGGCAAAACACAAAACTTAACCTCGAAGAAATGGCTATTCATTAGATATATTAAAAAATATGAAAGGAAGCAAAAGCTAAAACGAAGAGTGTCATATGCACCGACTGTGATTGCAATGGTAAGTTGCTTTTAGCCCCCGTTTTGCTTAATTTTCACAAAGAAAACCCTTTATATTTTACTAAAACTAGAAGAAATTGATTTTTTTTAGATTCCCATATTTGTTTATTAGTATTTGTTGACATTATCGAAAAGGTATTTGTTTTGACACTTTGTTTGGATGTGTGATTATTGCTACTTAATTAAGAATGCAATATAAGTGAAATTCCTTTAAAGCTAGACCTAGGGATAGTTAGGTGTGTTTGCATTTATCTCAATGCCTCGCCCATTGTAACAGATTCTGCACCATATTAGGTTTCTTCCGGGCCGTCACCTCCGCATAAGATCTTCCATCCCTCAAGGCTGATGATCCTCCTCTAGGTTGGACCGGAAATCTCCTCGGGTGTGGTGTCTCTTCGAAACTCTTATGCTGTCTCTCTATCCTTTCAAACTTGGCAATGTTCACTTCCAGTCTTTTCCCCTTGCAAGTGATTCCTTGTAGGCTAGCTTCCAATTTCAATACGTCTCTTAATGAAGAAGTCACAGTGGTTGGGGATAATCGAGTATTCAAAGTGGGGGTTTATGAGGTAGATGATGATTGGAAGCCTTTCTCTTGTTCAGAAGAATCAATGGCGGAATCTGATGAGGAAGACGATGAAGACGGCATCTCCGACACGGTGTTCGATACTGATGACGGGCTGGAGGAAGGAGAGATTGGGCCAGATGCCGACTCCGATCAGATTCCTGATGCAGAAATTGGAAGAAACTTCCTAGTCGATGACTCCGACGAAATTCCGGCAGGCAGGGCAACAGTCGTTCCTAGGAATTCGGGAAATCAACACATTGAATCGTCCAACAATGATGAAATCCAACAGTCAGAATTTAATTCAATCATTAATGAATCTCCTAGGAACATGGACGACATGATGGAGGTCAACAATGGGGATGACGGAGGCGAATCTGGGACCCCACACAGCCTTCCTTGATATCAAATCCAAGGAGTCTTCCCACCTCAGCCGTTTTTTCCATCTCTGTAGTCGGAGGGATTGTCGAGGGGAAGAGTTCAGTGGGGGAATTCTGTGGGAGGTTCGAGGATCCATTTGGTGCTCCGTTAAGATCCAATTGTGAAGGATGACTTGAAGCACGACATGCAAACTCTGGGATTGACTGGTTAATATTAAATTGAGGGTTATTTAGTACTTGCCGGATCTTTCTTCTTTTTAAAAATGACCCGTTTGTAGCAAATGGTTATTGATAATCTAAATATGATTTTTTTAATCCTAAATGATAAAAAATTCAGAACTATTGGCTATAACTTAAAGTAGTTAAGTGGTAGAGAATATATATAGAATAGTTTGGTTATGAAAACCATAGCCTTTTTGATAGAACATAACACAACCTAGATGATTGAAGCCTAGATCAAAGATCATGGGTATTCCTAACTAAATCATAAAATTCAATTATTTTGACGACAATTTCATCTAATGGTCATTTTTACATTCTTTGTCTGTATTTTCACCTTGCTCAAAAAACCATATAACCTTCAATAAGGGATGTGGATATGAATTATATTAAAAATTCTAATAATCCTACTTCACCTTTGTCAAACAAACAACCAAAATGAATTTTATCTCAAAATCTGTTAAATGGGTCTTTAGTTTCATTCTTTATTTATTAATTTATTTTTCGTTCATGTAGGTTCTTGCTTTTAACAAGTCAAGTCATGACCTTAAACCTAAAGCACTTTGACATATATGGTGGGAAGTTGTAGTGAAGAGTTTTTAAGTTTGACCTCAAATATGATCAGGTTTGCAATCTCCTATTTGTTTCATTCAACATTATGATATATTATCTTTGTGAATTTTTTTTATCATAATGTAAGATTTTAAATGAAATTTAAATAGTGGACCAAAGGTTACATGAGGTTTGTCATTTTTGTAAGGATTGACATAATGTGTTACAGACAAAGATGACATAAAAACAAAATATACAAAAAAACATATATATATATATATATATATATATATATATATATATATATATATATATATATATATATATATATATTATAAGAATATAAAAGTATCATGCAATTGTGAAAAATCAAAAGCTTCCAACTAAACATCCTTTTCCGTTTATAATAAAGCGATAAAAATTATCAAAATATCATATAACAGACATAAATTTCTACTATTTTATGTCTTGTTGTAATCTCTTTATATCCTATTATTATCAAACTAATCTTTTAGGTCTGGGGATATTCACAAATGGAAATGGTGGAGATTGGCTAGAGGAAGTGTATCAAAATGTGTTCTATATGAAATCACATATAATAGAAACTAGGAAAAGATCCGTGCGTTGCACGGGTGAAAGTTTAGTGGCAAAAATATAAAGAAGTAAAAATAAAGTGCTAAAATTATAAAGATAAAAAAAGTTTGTTGAAACTTTAGTGGCAAAATTAGTAAAAATAAAGTACCAAAACTATAAAGACGAAGAGTTTGTTGAAACTTTAGTGACAAAATTATAAAAAACTAAAAATAAAGTGGTAAATTTATAAAAGAATAAAGAAAAAGGGTTTTAAAGAAGTAAAAGTGAAAGTTTAATGGCAAAAATATGAAGAAGTAAAAATAAAATGGCAAAATTATAAAAAGAAAAAGTTTGTTGAAACTTTAGTGGCAAAATTAAGAAAAGTAAAAATACAATATTAAAATTATAAGATTTGCTGTAGAAACTTAATATATATATATATATATATATATATATATATATATACACCAAAGCTCATCATTATGAGTAGTAATATGAGATCAGGAAATAAGTTGACCAAATAACCCTTCATGAGTCGGTTATTGGGCTTTGCCTTCATCATGAAGATATATATATATATATATATATATATATATATAATATATATATATATATATATATATATATATATATATATATATACACCAAAGCTCATCATTATAAGTAGTAATATGAGATCAGGAAATAAGTTGACCAAATAACCCTTCATGAGTCGGTTATTGGGCTTTGCCTTCATCATGAAGATACTACTTGAAAAATGTTGTTCCTTTCATCATGCATCTTCATGCAGGCAGGGAATTTCATCAACGACTGAATATTTTACGACTGAATATTTCATAGTTATAATAGCACAAAATCTATTTTATTTTATTTTTACTTTTAGAGTTTATTTTTGTCGATAAACGACTGAATATTTCATAGTTATAAATAGATCCAAACTCCTAATTTTATAATCTCAATAGATAAACGACCATATTTATATATAAAAAACATATATTTTCAAAACCTGAACTATTTTTCATATTTTTAACTTGTTCAAATCAATATTGTGAATACAAACATTTTTTTTCATTTAAGTTTGTTCCAATCTAGGTTGTGAATCGGAACTATCTTTAATTATTATAAAAAAAATTCAAATTGTGAAAATTATATATATATATATATATATATATATATATATATATATATATATATATATATGTGTGTGTGTGCGTGTGTGTGTGTGAGATTGGGAGGGAGGGGGGCAAGGTTCAATAGAGAACCATTATTAACCATAAAACCAAAGAACCAATCTTTTTTTTCAACTTTTAAAGCTTATTTTTATCAATAAAAATACTAAAAATACATAAACTTATAATTTTTTATTCTTTTTCAATGATATCAAATTCGATAAAAAAATTACATTTCTTTTCGTCAAATTCACAGTGTGAATCTGTGCAGATTCACAATGTGAATCTGAATTTACACGGTGAATCCGAAAAATATATAATTTATTTTTTAGCATTTACAATATGATGTTATGAATTTAGATTATATATAATCATTTACGATTATGAATATACGTATAAACATGTATAATCATATATGATTAGGCATATCTCGTTGTTGCCGGTACGCTGGAGCGTTAGAGCGGCAAATGAGAAATATGTGGGTTAGGTTGAATTTCAAGATCTCTATTTTTTTTTAATCTCAAGTTAACCGTCCCTATATATATATATATATATATATATATATATATATATATATATATTATATACACTATTGCGAGAGATTTTTTTTAATGATTTGTTAATGGTTAGAAGTTAAACTCACCAAATTAGTTAATTCATCTACATCCGGGTTTGAAACCCGCTACCTACAATCTAAAATATTTTCATCTCTATCAAACGGGCTAGTCCCACATTGACGTATGATGGAGCATATTGTAGATTAGGAAAAAATAAGTATAGTATTTGAGATGACATATATAATAGTTCTTAATTTGTATTCCTATGATTTTCGAGGATCAAGTAACGTAAGTTAATTTGTGTAGAATTAGTTTTCGAGGATCAAGTAACGTAAGTTAATATTTTTTAGAATTAGTTCGGAGAAGATATATAGTGAGTGTTGGTAATAAGACACCCCTTAGACACCCTGTTGTCACTTTTATAAAAAGTCAACCTATAATCAAATACATATAATCAGTTTTTTCGAAAAATAATGCAATTTCAACCAATAAAAATATTTTAAAAATTAATTTAGAACGACGAAGAATCGTAGTCCAATATAATATAGACGAGGAATTTAGCCAACCCCTATATAATATAGACGAGGAATCGTAGTCAAATAATGTTTTTGGGTTAGTAAGTCCTTAGGGCATAGACAACCAATGTTTTAAAACCCGGGTCGACCCGGTCGATTCAACCGGTTGGACCGTGACCCGGGGTAGAAGGCGGGTCAATTGATAACGGTTTTTTGTAAAAATACGAACCGGATCGAACCGGCCGGGTTTCTCCTAAACCGCGGTCGAACTGTTATGTCGAACCGGTTAAAACCGGATTGACACATTTTAATAGGGTTTGGATGTTGGATACACGTAGCGAACGCCAAAACAACGAGCCGTTTGCAGCTTCTTCAATTTTTTCAATGTTTAAACTTTGTGGACATCAAATTATTGGTTTTATATGTTTATACATTATGAGGGAAAGTAAAAATATATGAAATTAGAAAAAGATCATAAACCGGGTTGACTCGGCGAATCATCCGGTTGACCCGTGAACCGGTCATCACACCGAGTCAACTAAAAACCCGGGTTTTAAAACATTATAGAGAGCTACCTAAAGGATGGGAACGAGTTGAAAAGTATACACAACTAGTCGTCGCTATCAATATCTACAATGAAAGAAATTGAAAGGATGGTCAACTGACCAACCATAGGTTTTGCTACAAAGTCTAAAACTTATTTCTAAATTCTAGGCACGCCATTATTATAAAATGTAAATAAAAACTATTTTTGTATTATAGTTCAACTTGCATCTTTATTTAATCATTTACTTAAATTTAATACATTTTTAACAGTCAATGGTTTATTTTAAAAGAAAAACTAGTCAGAGGACGGACCACAACTCAAAAATAATTTACATATTACAAAGAGCAAAATGAGAACTACGAGGCCATTTTAACCATAACACTAAATATTTTAGAACGACGAAAAATTCACCAGAAACAAATATGCATAGCTATAACATTCAAAAATACAATATTTCCCCATTATCTCTTTTGTTAAAAAGACTACTAATAAAGTGCAATTTTCTGTAAAAATTTATGGAATTGATTTTTACACAACAGTTTTTCTTAATATACAACAATTTATGTTTTATATGTTTTATAGAGTTGTACAATACAATATTTTAAAGCAAAAATTGTAACATACATAGAAAAATTATTTGTACAAATCAACTCCCTAAATTTACTACCAAAACATCGGTTGTCATAACTGTCGGAATACAAACAAAAAAAACCCAATTTGACTACAATTTTCCGACAGAAATAAACACCGAAAACCTATTGTTGAAAAATTTCAATCAAAGGTTTCGGTTGGAAAGTCCAAAACTCTTTACTTTGATGGGTGAACACTCTACCCACATATTACTTTTCCGTATTTTATGCCTCCAAATTGCATAATAATAACCCACATATT